CCCTCGCAAATTAGCACGACTCGGTGCGTGGGATGACACGGATGCTGGTGATAGTACTGACTATCCGGATTGCGAGTAATGTCAACGTACTGAACAAGACTGCAGGCACTGCCCTGTTAGTATAGACAACAAAATAGTCTCCCAAATGTACATACAAACGACGGTATAACAAGTAAAGTTTTATGTACCTACTACATTAATTGAAAGAAATTTTAAGCAGGTGTATTCACCTATCTTATTAGATAGGTTTGAAAATTGGTCAAGTGCGATGAAAAACACTTGTATGATATTGCCATTTATCAAAAAAAAAAAAAAATTGTTATTTAATTAAACTCTTGTCACTTTTTCATCGGTTTATAAATTATCCTATCTCCCAAGTGGAATCGTACAATACATATTTTTAAAATTTCATTAAAATCGATTGAGCTGACTCGGAAATTTTTTTAATGGGTAAAGATGGAATGGTAGCTCCGTCTGCGCTATTGGTATACACTGACGGGACACCAATGAAAGATAATAGGTGAGGATAAAAGCAAGTCAGTTAGCCCATCGTAATGAATTCAAGAATTATTTGCTGTGGTTACCAAGGGAGAACCACGTGGAGGTCGACCCGATAGGCTATATTGCTAGTAATCGAGTTGTTAGACCCCATTACTAACAATCCCTATCTGTGACTCGGAACAGAAGCGGATATATCGGAATAGCGTGAAGGAACATCGTGATACTCATGCCTTAGTTTACACGCCATACTTATCTCAATCGGAATTACAATGTGTAAATTATATTCTTGACGAATTGTTTAGATTCTGATAAGAGAACTGCTCTACTATACATTTTTTAACAGGATAAACCATGTTGCTTGCGTGTGACTTTAGTCAGCGATGATTAGCCGACCAGTGAAGATTTACTACTATAAATCCTTAAGTATGTGCCCTAAGCTTATTAATGTGGCGGGTGACAGTGGCGAGCCACCGCAGTGTGAATATGTAATAGGGTCTTGGGACACAGAGGAAATAAATGTACTCGGGAACCTCGCTCGAACCGTTACATGATTTATAGCGAAACGAATACATAAGTACCCTCGTGTATTTGCTTCTTAAATTTTCTTGAGGGGCCAAATATAAAAAAAAATGCTAGAAACATAAAGTTTAAAGCACAGAATCGTATAGAGAAGTACAGAAAGTTGATAAGATTACTACAAAGCTATTTATTGATACGCGATTGACAGATAATATGTGGTAGGAGTAGCTAGTTCGACATCGTACCACTGTATGTTTTCGTCGTGGTAGTAGCAGGAGCACTGACCTCTTTATGTATCGTACAGACAGACGTACACGTCCGCATTTTATTTTGTAACTATGTCGACTCCCAGGCCCCGTGAAATTGACGTATATACCACGCCAGAAGAGCGAGTGAATGCCCGTATAGTTTGTTTATCCTGCTATACTATGCTGCAATAGTAACTCCGTTAGTTATGTCCATTTCTTTTTTGTAACTTATTATAAGTAACCAAGTATACTAATTTAATAAACTTAATAGTATTTTCTCATGATTGTTATCCTGAATATATTATCTGCGAGATTTGATTTATAACGTTTTCTACCAATGGCTGATACGGAATTTGAATATACGAAAAAAATGCAGTTATAACTGTAGAATTCTGTATATCACATGTCACTGTAGTATAATTTTGTATTTACATTCATATTCATACCATATATCAGCAATTGGTAGTAGATTCCAAACTTTAGAACCTGGATAGTGAGGTGGTTCCTCCCGCGGGCGTTTAGATTTCCCAAGACATTATAGCAACTTTAAAAAAGGGGTGCTGTGGTATTTTCAGCGTCAGTAACGCGCGAGTTATATCCCTGGTATTGCAGGAGTTTAAAGGCAACGGTAACCGTATACCATCATGTGGATCTTATGTTTGTTTGTAGGCAAGTGGTATAAAAAAAAGAATGAATATTAATAGGTATCAGACATGAATACAACTTTATTTACATGGTAATAGACACCTCTGATTTTGAAGACTAAGTTGTTGTTATTAGCGTCCGCATTGGTATCTACTTCATAACGATAAAAAATATGGTATCATCTTGTATATCTAGACAGTCAATGCGCTATTCTATATGGTTTGTACTGGCCGGGTATCAGTGTGGGATGATAGACGAGGATGAAGTTAAACCATGTTAATTTTTAGGAAGGATCACTTGTTGGTATACCTACTTTTTTGTACTACTGAGGTGGCAAACAAACGGTCCACTTGTGGTGGAAAGCAATTATCTCTTATACCCACATCGCATTGTAGAGGTAAGTAAAACAGTATCATCTCGCATATCCCAAACGCGTCACACAGTCTCCATAATAAGTATGTACTCATTTAATGAAAACGTTGTTTAAATATTAGTTATTCTTATATATCGATAAATATTTGATTTAGCAATATCTTTGTTGTTGATTTTTATCATTATCTTATTTATTTACTGTGTTATCTTGAGTTATCTACATTATCGTACAGATACCTATAATATAATCATAGAAACCATGCGTTTGTACATTGAATATTTTTTTTAAAGACTGCTGCGTATGCGTCATAGATGTAGTATAACATAGTCGCGTACTGGTATACTTTAAAATCTAAGGCATAAAGTAGGTAATTTAATATTCCATATATAATACGCATTTTATGTTTTAGTCTCTTAATAAATTTTTTTTTATAAGCTTTTATTTAATCCATTATAAGAAAGTTGTTAAACACGCATGTGGAAAGGAAGACGTGTACTAATTAACCTTTTTTTTATACAACTTAGAATGGCTAACAAGCTGACGGCCCACCTGATGGAAAGTGGTAACCGTCGCCTATACACATGAGCAGTACCATGGACATGACAGAGTATTCTGTTTCGCCCATGATACCCTCCATACGTTGCCACTCCTGAGGACTCAGGTGTTAATCCTCTGTACCCTGTAAATTCACGCCATATCCCACCCTTCAAACCGAACACAGCCATGCAAACACAACTGTTTCATGGTAGAAGTTGACAATGTTACCACAAAATTTCACATAGCAAAAGATCCAGTGTCGAATTGAATTAAGGAAGTCACTGATGCATGATTTCTGGCTCCTCCTGGGCGCTAACTTTTTCTCTCTTTCTTACGGCCGGCACTGTGTGGTCCAGGATCTTCTAGACAAGCGGCAAGCGAATTCGTCGATGGAATCGACATCGCTAACAAGTCCGTAAGTTGAAATCCCGACGTTGCTATCTCATTCTATCTCACGGACTCGCTAGCGATGTCGATTCCATCGACGAATTCCCTTGCCACTCAGATCCATGATCGATAGATCCTCTTAGAAAAGCTTAGTGAGTAACGTTCAAGCTGGTGTTTTAAAGGGTTCAATTGAACTACCTTTACTTGTCCACAATCGGAGACATTTGTAGGAGTGCTTCCGATTTCAGACAAGCATTTTGCAGTTAGTTTTTACAACGAGATTAGGTATAGGTATCATCGTCATCATCATTTCAGCCATTATCTGTCCACTGTTGAATTTAAGCCTTCACCATAATGGGAGTTTTGCCAGTACTTGCCATGCTTGGCAGGCGGAACCGCAATCGCAGTTAGCAACCGCAGTTAGGCTTATATAATAGGTTTATGCATAGGTATAATTATATCTTAATGTAATAATAATGGTTAATTTAATATGCAATATCGTTAATTTTATATTGCCTGCATAACAATGAAAGTCATCCATGATCAACAAGTCACTGACATATAGTAAAAACAGCCTTGGAGATAGCCACAGATCTTAAAATAAGATCATGAACCTAACGTGCAACTTCGGTATATCTGGTCATCTCCCTTTATAGTTACAATGAAGTTGTCAATTAGATCTTTTGCACATATATATGAATCTCTACGGGGTGTGGAGAAAGCAACAAAATCCATTATAAAAATATGATAATCGTTACTAATATTATAAACTAGCGACCCGCCCCGGCTTCGCACGGGTGCACATTACATCACATCACATTAGAAACCTCTAAAATTATCAGTGTTTCTCTACAATATTATGCATGTATTATACATATAAACCTTCCTTTTCAATGACACTATCTATTAAAAAAACCGCTTTAAAATCCGTTGTGTAGTTTTATAAATTTAAGCATATATAGGGATGGACAGACAGCGACAGCGACTTTGTTTTATACTATGTAGTGATTTGAAAGTGAGTTTGTTACCTTATAGCATTGTAATGGCTTAACCAATTACTATACAATTCGGTATACACGTACTATATGGGATAGAGAAGTATATAGGCTACTTTTTATCCGGATCAATAAACGTATCCCGATCAGGCGGACGAATTTGTAGGTAAAAGCTAGAAATAAGTAATTAAAAGTTTAACTAACTAAAACTAAAAGAAGAAAGGTTCTTGAGTGGCGGCCGCGTACGGAAAAACATAGTGTAGGACGACTCTCACTAGATGGAGTGACGACCTGAAATGCATTGCAGGAAGTCAATGGATGCAGGTGGCTCAGGACCGTTCTTTATGGCAGACTATGGGGGAGGCTTATGTCTAGCAGTGGACGGATAATGGCTGAAATGAAGTAACTAAAAGTGCTACATAAAAGACACACTAAATATAAATAAAGTAATTGGAAATAACAACAATTTATCGATTTAGTTTCTTACAATAAAGTATAAATCCAGATTTGTGAACAAGTAAAATTTGGGTATCCAGTCAGGCTTTTACTTGTAATCACATACGCATACATACGGCGGCTCTAAGAAGAAAAATATATTCTTCTTTTAAATTCAACTGAAAAAAAACTTGTTTTTAATGTATTCTATACTTTATAAAAAAAGGATAATTAGGAAAAAAGTATTACTATTATTATATGTTATTGAGTTATGCCTGCAAAAGGCATTCTCATTCAAATATAAAAAAATGCATTTTATAATAACTTTAAACTAATTTAATGTTATTATTTTCTTTCTAGACAATGTCCACAGACACTGATGACTCCGCTGCGGCGGATCATACTTGATGAGGTGCGGGTTGCATCGAAGAAACAACCCAATGAATTTGGGTACAAATCTGATGATTCAGGTATGTTTATACGCCATAAGTAACTGATATCTATAGATAAGATCATGCAAGATTATGATCAGCGTAATAGCATAAATAATAACACAACAGGTATATGATACGCGACTTATTAACTTTTGAATTTTAATATACCTAAATAAGTATAGAGTAAAATATGATGTAAGGTAAAATCATATGGCACTGATATGCTAAATCTCTTGCCCACATTTGTAGAATTATATTGGAATTTAACGCGATCAAGCTACCTAGTTTTGAATTAGGTTATCAACTATTATCAAATTGAAATGTTCTCAAAGTTTTGGTGCATAATAATTCGAAATTGGTTTCGAAATCATAATCATAAGGATCTTTTTAATCGAGCAGTAAAACTTTAAACCACGATATTTTTACTTTCAGTCATGGGTGTTTCGTTTCTTGATATTTACTCTATGATGTGCTATTTATTTGTTTACAGTCAATAGATATGCAAATTGGCAATGTACACTTGGATTGTTGGCTTAATCGATACCTTGCGTAATGTACACACTATAATATCTCACTAGTTTTATAATGGTTGCTATTGTTATACACTTTGAGCCTTAGATCTAATGATATCATTCATTACATGAGCCTGCATACGTATTATGTCATTACACTAGTGACCACTTTTGTATATGTGTCGGGGTTAATGTGAGGTCGATCGATATTCGTTCCTCAATCTTGTCTTGATTATGTTTCTGTTATTTTTACGTACATGTTATAGATGTGATCTGTTTTTATCACAGTTTTTTATTTCTGTTTATTGGTTTTTTGGAAAACGAAATGCATGTTTGAATGTTTTGAGCGTAAACAATATCATTAGAATCCTTCAGACCTTTTATAATTTTTTATTATTATGTTATAATTTTCAGTCCCTTTAAAAATAAAGAAAATTTAAATTGTAATGATATAATAGGGTATAGACGATGTGTTAATTCCAAGTACCTACCGCAAGCGGGTATCTGACCTCCACTTCAGATAAGTATACCATAAAAGTAGTTTATCAAAGAGGGCAGATTTTGTTCCCATGAAAATAAAAAAGATTTTTTCTTTCTTTATTATAGTAGATACATCAGTATGATGATGATTTAAGATGAGCCAGGAAAAAAAAAAAAACAAAAAATGAATACGTAGTTAGTAAAATTATTCCGAGTTAGGTAGGTATTTTTGTTTGGTCACATGAATTATAATTTGTTGTCATTTTCCGTGCTGTGTCTGCATTGAGTCATAAAAGCTTTATGACGGACACGTTTGATAGCTTTTAGTCATGGTGTATTCGTTCTTTGTTATAATAATAAGAAATTAAGGTTTTTAAAAAATATATATATATATATATATATATATATATATATATATATATATATATATATATATATATTGTAGCAAAAAATATTTATAAATATAATTGTAATAATAATAAATGTAATGATTCATTATGTAGTATTTTGTCCGCGGCTTTTCTCGCATGGAATTATATAATATAAAGTATCTTATTATTATATTATGATCCGTCTGTGTACTATACTTCATTATAATCAACTGTTCCAGCGTTGATACAGTAGCAAACGTCTAGTTATCGGACATTATTATAAAATTTTTCGTTTATAATATTCGAAAAAAAAAAGTATATCTATTTTTTATTTTCTTTTATTATTTTTTTTTTCATTTTAAAATACATTCTTTCGTTAACATAAAATAAAAGGAATGTGTAAAATACATCGATGTAACTTTATTTAAAACTTATATTAAAATATTTGATCAACGTGATAGTATTTATATCTTCCTCTTTTAGAGAGGGAATTAGGCCTAAGCTTTGGGACATTAATACGTTATTATGATTGTATTGATGGTAGTATTTATGAGTTTTTATATAGGTTCTTAGTAAGTTGTTAACTAACTACTTTTCTTTCATTAGGATCAACAATCTTGCTTCACATGTTGATCCAACGGAAATATTGTTTCTACATTTTCTGAATTTCAAATTTTTAGGTGACAAACATTTTGTTAGTCTGTCGTGACGTATTCCAAAAGAATTAACCACAATGCTTTCCAGGGGAACCGCGCGTAGGTCCACTTGATAGGGTATATCATTGGAAATGGGGCTGTTAGACCTCATTACTAACAGTCCCTTTCTTTTCTCTTTAGTTAGATACTCTTTTGTTCAACGGGTTTAAGTCGTAATTATTAGCATTCTGTATATCGACTAACACGTCTTATAATAATAGGTGAGGTTGTTTTTTTACAAATATTTTTATTTTTCCTTTCAGTTTACATAGCTTTACGTCTCATGCAAGCAGTGACAGCTCGCTTAATCGGCGTTTGCTTACGGTATTTGGACAACTCAAAATTGGACTCATTACCGCCGCCACCGCCACTCACACAGCGCGACATGAAGACTGTATCCTGTGCCACCAAGAACTCGCGTAGGGTCATGGAAGATCGACACGTCGAAGTAGGCAATTTGGAAGCATTGTTCGGTATTGATGTAAGTGGGACATATTTATTTATTTAAATTTTAATGTTCAGTGTAATTGTATGTATATTTAGCGGTCTTAACACCAGATGGTGATCTCTACCAGTTGATTATTGGGCAAACAGAGAAATAGGTAGACGGTGCTCAGGAATTAAGGAAACATGAAGTAATTCTTATCATATATATACATCTATATATATAAGGAACAGGTTGATAAAAATTGAAACAGTGAATTTATATCATTATTCTAAACTGAAAATCAGTGGAAATTTTTACCAAAAATCTTAAATTTTATCTTGATTTGTTTTTAGTTTTTAATTTGAAATCATGTAGTCTAATTTCCATCAGTTTCCATCTAATTCAGACTATTTATCTGAATCAGCTGTTTTCATTTTGGCTAATCTGCTCTGGCTCTTCCGCCCTATATATACATATAATAAATAAATAAATAAAACATTACTACATCTAATATTTCTGCATTAGAAGAATAAATAAAACATTCTATAACTTATACAAAAACGCATAACTATAGTCTTTAAGTGTTGTAGTTAATATTCTGACTCAGTTCCCCTACCTAGCTAAAATGAAAAATGAATCCATCGATAGTTACGTTTTCCCTGCCCTATGCATAATATATGTAGAACAAGTGAACTGCGTCCGGTGTCTTGTTCCGTGTGATAAAGAAACTGTATCTATAGATAGATACGACGCTTGTCATAAGGGCGTGGGAGGGGTGGTGCAGTCTTTTGTATTATAAGTTTAGGGACCTTTAATAAACAATAAATACACGTAACAAGGGTGGACTCGGAAAAATCACGGCAATTTTTAATATATTTGGAAAAATATAAAATCGAGATTTTAGAGCGATAGTGTGGTATGTGCAGTGTGTAGATATTGATAATATTATATAACACTTTTTGCTGTTCAATCTATTTCAAATTATATATTTATTTTAATAACTGTACCTATAGCAATCAAATGTACATTATTACCTTCCTCCCTACCACATGATTGTGCGAGTAGGCACCTCATTCTACAATTGCTAGTAATAATACACTCATCGGTCGGTTTTCCTGATACGTTTAGGACGATACTATGCGGGTCGTAAAAGGTGATTCATAATACACGTCTATTAGTAGATAATAATTAATGAGCGTAATTTTCATTATTTATGCATTATTAACATATGTTATGAACTTTGCCTGGTACCTATAATAAGTACTGATCAATCAATCTTGTTGTTATTGATTTTATTTTAATTTTGACAGTTTGGTTATTTTAATTAATTTTATAAAAAATATTACAATACTATACATTGTGATATGGTAAAGTAATAAATGGAATTATGAAATGAAATTATGCTGTTTAGATATTTACTATATTTACAAAAAGACTTATTCATAATTATATAAAAGTCGGGCTTTGAAATAAAAATAGAAGAGAATAAAAATACTTAAAAAAGAACGATTAAACTTTGATCGTTTTATCGTATATAACGGTAGGGATTACGAATAACGAAACGTCACTTTTAGTATAATACTAAGGGTCTTCGGAAATAAATTTTGTGGTGGACTCATTCCTGTTCCTATTCGTCGGTCGGCTATTTGATTTTTTGACGGTGTAATATAGAGGCGTATTATGTGTATGTTGCAGTCGACAGAGCGAACGAGTTTCTACGCGGTGTACGATGGACACGCGGGATCAGCCGCGGCAACGTATTGCGCGGCGCATCTCCACCAGTACCTGGTGGAGAGCCCGCACTTCCGCGGTGATCTCGGCCGTGCCATTCGAGACGCCTTCCTCAGGACCGACGCGGAGTTCGTCAGGAAATGTAACCAAGAGGTATCTACACTATTTCCTTTTTTTCTTTTACGTATTTTAATGCGGATCCGCAAAAACAGGGATTTTAGTTGTTACAAAATCAATATGAGATCAACATGGGAGTAAAAGAAGAAAAGTATAAAAAAAAATGTTCGAAATATATAGAGATTTCATGTAATATACACGCGAATTACGAGTCTTAAGTAGGAAATTCTTAATTCGCCTGTATACTTTACATGCGAATTAACAATAAACTTCCTTCGGAAGTCAGACCAAGTTCTGGCTTATTGAATGAAACTAGTACTTACCCATAACATACATGTCCTTCTAAAAAAGGTGCTTCTATCAATAAATACCGTTTCTTGTGATCTCTTTACTCTTATATATTAACGGAAAATCTAAAAACAAATCCATTACACGTTTAACTTATGGAATAAAGTATTTTTTGTGTAAATAGGCAGGTATAACACTAGGTACATCATTCATTGCAGCGTGCATGCGGCGGCAGCACAGCGGTGGCGGTGGCTGTGCGAGCGCGGCAACTTATCGCGGCCTGGGCGGGAGACTCGCTGGCGCTGCTCGCTAAACGGATGCGGCTTATGCAGCTCGTGCGACCACACAAACCTGGCCGAGAGGTTACTAACCTCTTTAATTGGAAATTATTAAGAAGTTGGATAGCATTAGTATAAAGTGTATGAGTGATTTTCAGAGCTACCATGTGTTATCACTCTTTGTGTCACACGTGAAAAAAATTAAATAAACGCGCGCGTAAATTATTGTGAATCGTAAAATATAAAATAATAAGTGTATTCGTCCGGTCCTCGTTATTAAGTTATAAAAAAATAAACTATAAGTAAAAGTAAAGTTTGTAAAATTCGTCTGGTAGAGGTCAGTTTATACTATAATACTTTGTTTATTTTCATTCCACCACTTGTCATCAATTTAGTAAGTCATTTTGTTATATAAATCAAATGTAACTGCTAGCAAAATTTGTGCATTCGTTTTGCATTGACAAGGGGCTAGTTTTTACTTTTATATTATAGATTGTCAATTTTGAGCGCAGCATTCCCCAATGAGTCTGTAAAGCAGTCCCAGCGGTAAGGTATAACGTCCGTCTGATAAACTATAGCAATAATTCGCGGACGTGACCTAGCCTCGACAGATGTTTCTTATTCACAAACCGGGTCCTTTGGTATACTTTACACCAATCATGATAAATTATGGTTATTTTTTTTTTTAATTATTTATAGGTATATGTATGCGTTATCTATCAGTCGACCGTTCTACTTTTTTTGTTTCAAAATCTTCGAGTTTCAATATATATCTCGATTTGAGGATGTAATATTAAGGCACTAATACAATTATTGGTGGGTTATGTGAAATACATTGTATTTGGTATAATTGAAGGGAGAGGGGGCGGTTCACTTCCTTCAACATCGTGTCCAAGACGAAAGATTCGATTAGTGGTTACCAACCTTTTCTGGAAATCTGTATACAATTATAGTATAGCAAGTATACGCCGCATTGTTTTGGGATTTTATTTTCTTTGAGATTCTGTAGTAATATGGTCTGTAGGAATTAGGTCACTCGCTATCTTTGTATTTCTATCCGACGACTAGTACACCTGATCTTATCGTATTGTTAATATAAACCTGTGTTCGATGTGTTGCCACGATTATTTCACTTCTATTGATAGACACTATATTCTGATAACGATCCATTGTTATGGCTATTTTGTGTAAGGAACTTGGGTTTATAACTTGACTGTTTAATCTTGATTATTTGTGGGTGTTTACTATATTATCTTTCTTTCTTTAATTAATTTGTGTTTAATTCTACTTATATACTTGGTTATCGGTTGATTTATCGGATATTTTTATGCAGATGGTTATATGAATCTTTATGGAATTAAAATATTGCTATCGATAAGGTTATTATGTTGGCTTAGTAGGTTAGTGTAGGATTTTGTTTAGTTTTCCTTCCCTGTGGCACTGGTAATTATATAGTTCGTTGGTATAGTCATAATCGTCATTTCCTTTAGTTAAAAATGAAGGTTGACACAGTATAGCTCTGCTCATTCCCCAAACTGAGTCTATTGATTTTATTTATTTCTTTGTTTTATTTTCAACTAAATATCTTTGGCCTATCTGTGAAAAGATATTTGCAGAACTTTTACGGTCCCTCGATGATCGTTATATAACATATTCAAATATTGTAAATTTCTACCCTTAAATATCAAAGAAAATAAAATCGGTACTACTTATTATCATTTTTATAAAAATCTATGTAGTACAGGTTTAAAAAAATATGACGTTATGCTATATGGAGAGACAGTTTGACAAATAAATTAGAACGACATGAAATGATAATGATAGGTCTTTGAGAATTCTGTAAAGTGAAATTGATTATGTATATTTAACTTATACATACCTTCAATAATTTTTATCATTATTAAAGCTAAGAATATAAGATGTGATTACTGTGTCATACGGTTTTTATAAATAGTTGTATATATTACCAATCTGTCAGTATATTCAATTTCAAGGAAAATTATTCTTAGTAAAGAGGTATTAAAGCTCAATTGCTAGCAGTATAGGATTTTATATCAGGTCAGTCTCCACACTGTTCGCCCTGAAAACCATTGTTGGTTAATTCTTTTTAAATTCGTCACGATGGGCCAACGGACCTACTTTCATCTTCACCTATCGTCTTTCAATGGTGTCATCTATTCCATTTAAAAAAATCTATCCAAGAGTTTAAGTGTGATTGGAGGGAGGGGTCTTGTAAAACGTTACGATGCGCTACAGGGGTGGGAGGGACAATTTGAATAATACGTTACGTAATATTGTTTTTAATAAAAAAAAAGAAGGGAATTGAAATCGCCTAAGTTGGCAACTCTTGTCGTTTATATTTTACGGGGAATCTCTCGATTGTATGTAAGTCATTTACTTTTTCGTTGTCAGTATTTGTTAGTGTTGAAACTTTAGATAAAAATGTTCACTTGAGTGTTAAGTAACGTTTAGAGAGAGAGAAGGGGAGGGCGGGTTAGTCAACAAAGGTATGTAGGGATTCGATCTTAATACGATTTAATCGAAAATCGATTTTTAGGATCAATATACTCGTATTGTTCTTAATATTTTACAGTACATATTATTACGATCAGGGCTGTTCTTGTTGGCAGTCTATGGGGGAGCCCTATTTGTTCAGCAGTGGACAGACAATGGCTATTATGATGAAGATGATATTTACGTAAACGATCAACTATCTAGACGTTTTGTTAGTCAGAATGCATTAATATCCTTACTATCGGCTTATATCGCCGTATGGTTCCGGCATAGAATGGGCCCACCCCTTCCTTTCCCGTGGGTGTCGTAAGAGGCGACTAAGAGAACTCGAGAGTATTACTATTTTAAAAATCTAGATAGGCACGTAGTCTAGCCTAGTGATAAAACATTACAAAAATTTACAATTCTATTTTTTTTAATCGGGCGACGTGCACATTTGCTATTTATTACTTGATAAAATCATATTAATTGGAGATAAGATTTATTGATTAGAAAGCATTTTTTGTGTCACAGTTTTTTTTAGATATTACCGGTGGATATTATCCTCTAAGCCTCTGGCCGTGTGGTCCCGTCATAGAATAAGCCACTCCTTTCTTTTCTGTGGCTGTCGTAAGAGGCGTCTAAAAGAACTTAATGATAGAAAGATGGGCAGCAGCGTCTCTCTTAAAACATCTCTAAAAGCCAAGCCAAGCTTGGCAACTACTGGCAAAATTCCCCTTATGGGGTAGGCTTCTGTCCACCAGTTGACAGTTAACGGCTGAAATGATGATAATTTTTGTTTATGCAACTTAGAATGACCAAACAAGCTGACGGCCCACTTGATGGAAATTGGTAACCGTCGCCTATAGACATGAGCAGTACCATGGAGATAACAGAATATACTGTACACCCAATGTGTTGCCATTCCTGAGGATTCAAATGTTATTCCTCTGTACCCTGTAAATTCTATGACGGTTGTCCTCTACAATGATTTTTGAAAATCAACTGCTATATAGATTTAATATTTACAGGATGAGAGAGATCGAATAGAGGCTGCAGGTGGGACGGTCATATACTGGGGCACGTGGAGAGTCAATGGGCAGCTAGCGGTCTCACGAGCAATTGGTAAGATAAATTACTTTATCTATATTGTAACATGTAATTGATATGTAACTTGTCTATACCTACGATATCGTTGAGCTGGACTACTTTCAATATTGATTCGAATAGATAATAATTATATTTACATAAAAATGCAAGTTTCATGTTGCTCATATGATGAATATGTTTTTATATTGTTTTTTATACAACTTAGAATGGCAAAAAACTGACGGTCCACCTGATGGAAAGTGGTAACCGTTGCCTATAGACATGAGCAGTACCATGGACATAACAGAATATACTATTTTGCCCATGATACCCCCCATGCGTGCCATTCCTGAGGACTCAGATGTTATTCCTCTGTACCCTGTAAATTCACGTCATATCCACCCTTCAAACCGAAACACAGCCATGAAAACATAACTGCTTCATGGTTGAAACACGTATGGGACAGAGGTACCTAAGCAAACGACTTGTACAAAGCCTCCTTTTGGTATATGTAAACCATATGGAAATATGTACATGTCATAATATTATCATTATATTTTCTTTAAGGTTAAATAAAAACATTATCAGGTGTCAAGTACTAAATAAATATTTTTCTTGTTGTTAGCTGACTGAATTGTTATATTGTTATGTATTATTACTGTTAAAATGTTGAGTCGATATATAACGTGATATACGTCGCGGGATGCAATTAACCCCTCGGTTTTCCTCGCGTGAATTAGGATAAAAAAAATCGTATGTTTTAGTCCAAGATAATTTTATAGCCTATCTGTATTATAACAACCCATGAGCATGGATCCTCACCGATAAGAGGAAGGTATTAGTCTACTGTTATCACCCTTACCAGGGGGTTAGGGTTTTATTTCGAATTGACTCTTCAAGTAGTCCAGCAGCAATGGGTAGTATTAATGGGTTCTGGAACTAATGAGTTGCTTGTTTTCTTTTTGTTTATTTTTATAATATATTTCTTTATAATTATTACTAAGTGAAAAGTTAATGATTTGAATGTTTCTATTTTTTTATCTATTATGATGTTCTGGCGATGAAAAGGACTGATGACACTTTCTATCCTTACTCTGTCATCACACTTGTCTAAATACTCAAATCTGGAGCAATGGCAGCTCAGTTGAGTAACACTTATCTGCGGCGCGAAAACCATAAAATGGAAATTCAATACTATAACTAAACTTTAATATAACTAAACCTTTTAAATTCATGTTTATCATCAAAATAAATATTTACTGATAAGTGACCTTCGACTCGGTAGATGGCGGTAGGTGAAAAAACAATGCATGCCGGGTCAGTTAGTACCTAGTATAAAAATATCGATAACAAAGCGAAAGAGGTCTCTTTGAATCGAAGCAATAGGCGTTCCATTGTTTCTGTCTACCCTAATGGGAGACAGGCGTGACAAATATATATGTATGTACAATGCCGTAAAGTGTTGACAAAAGTTATTGTTGTAGTATCCTTCTATTAGATGGCGTTGTAAACAATCACGGACAACAAGAAAATAAGTTTGACATAAGAACTCGTGCCACACGGTCTGACCGTTAATTCCAAGTTCGAATTCTTTTTTTTCGGAATGTGAAGTGGAAAAAAAACGCTTTCTCGGCCCTCTCTGAGCATGGACTTGAATTATTTCTCGGCAAATTTATGATCACAGTTTGGCAATTATTATACTGAAGCATTGTTAGGGACATAGCTGATACGAACTTTCCGGACCGTATGTACAAGTGTTGCAAGCGTTTTGCAATTATTATATGCCTAGCTGATGCGACAATCACTTACCGGATCCATTCTTTCAACCTTCTTGAAATCATAATTACAATAAAAAAAAAAAATTACGTCATATTGTGTAAAAGAGGTCTCGTATTCAATTCTCCGTTCAAATCTTATTGAAGGAGAATTTACATACTTTTCTCGGCTTTGAATGTTGTGCTTCCACATGTTTATTGGTATTGTTATCTAATTTCTTATTACCGCAGGGTATCCTAGTTGGAGGACTGGCGATTCATGTAGTTGTCTGATATTTATTATCTATTTAAAATAAAAAGAAATGCACATTGGCAAGTACATCTCTTCTAAGTAGCCTTCCAACAAATCAGAATTGAAACAATAAATTGAATTCATTGAAAATGTAGATCACATAATAATATCCCATTGGTTATAAATTGTCGTGTATCACGTTAGAAAAGTTATTTTTTATAGTAAAAATAAAGAGACTGACTTGTACTTTTTCTAGATTGCTCGATTAGTTTTGGATCCACCCGGTACCCTAAATCATGACTTTCAAAATACAATAACACGAGCGCGAGCCTGAAAATAAAAAGCACGCAAATCTGATTATTTTTACAATAATATGTAATATGTTATTTTTATTAAATATAATTCTTCAGTTTTTAATAATAAAGTTTTTTATCTTTATAAAATTCACGACAACAGATTGTTTAAATATTGTTTTTGCAAATTAAAAAAATAGTCTGTCGTTGTGAATGATGACATTAATTTGTCAAATTCAGTTTAGAGGTTGAGCGACGAGGTTGTCCGGAAAGTTTTATTAACAGTGTTTATAACAACAAAGTGTGATCCGTTGACTAAATTAAAATTCACGACAACAGATGAAGGAACCAACCGTCCACAAGTGGCTAAAACGATTCAGAGAGGGCCGAGAAAGAGTTCGATGTTCGGGGGATTGTCATCTATAATTCGTCCCTCCAGGCCAGACAGTTGATGGTAAGTATGCGAGTTCGTCCAGAATTGGCGCGAAATTAAAAAAATACCTCTCTTGTTGTCGTGAGTTTTTGAGTAAAAATTCCCGGTGACCGTTGCCCCGTGTGACTTCTTCTTGAATTGATGGCATTTGGGGGACATAAATGAGATAAAAAAAGTCAAATACAACCAGAGGACTTTAGAGGTTGAGCGTACAGTGGAAACGGCGTTGGCACAATGCATTATGTGATAAAATGATTTACCTGAATAATTGTAAAATAAAATTTTTAAAAAACTTTTTACGGGTTCGGACAAACCTCGTACATTAATGATGTGATAAAATCATAACTCGATGTTAGGGTTCGAAAGGTGGAGTCTGCAGGCGCCAACGTGTAGTTAATCGCTCGTTTTATTGTTATTGCGGTATGGTACAGCAGCGAGCGGAGCGGAGCGAGCGTGGAGTCGTGGAGGCACAATGGGCGCGATCATTAAGCGCGCGTGCCGGTCATTAAGCTGTTAGCTGACGCCCTGCAGCCCCTGTCGGCGTAGGGAGCATGAACTGCTATGTCATATTTGTGTCATCAATTTGTAGTGTAAAATAACGCTTTTGTGTTGTCGTTTGAAGATTCCCTCTGTAGGATTTCACCTTGGTTTCTTTCGGGGCTAGTGAATCTAAAAATCTAAACTATAATTTTTTACAATGTAGGTAGAAGTTTTTGCTAAAAAAATATAATAATATATAATTATTATAAAATAGAATAAAAGTTGTTGATTTATTTATTTATTACTAGCGGCCCGTCCCGGCGTCGCACGGGTGGACATGTTTACATTTAAAAAGTGGCCATTAAGGCTGCACACGCGACGGAACCTTAAAAATGGAGTAACTTTTCCCGTTTTCCCAACATTTCCCTTCACTGCTCTGCTCCTACTGATCGCAGTGTGATGAAAAGTATACTATAACCTGCCCAGGAGTATGAAGAATAATTGTACCAAGTTTTGTTAAAATCCGTCGAGTAGCTTTTGTTTCTATAACGAATATACAGACAGACAGTCAGACAGACAGCCAGACAAAAATTTTACTGATTGCATTTTTGGCATCAGTATCGATCACTAATCACCCTTTGATAGTTATTTTGGAAATATATTTTATGTACAGAATTGACCTGTCTACAGATTTATTATATGTATAGATAGATAGATTAATAAAACTTTATTCCTAGGTGTAGTAGTTTTGGTAGATGACAAATCTATTAAAATTTCAAATGTTCGTTACTAAATTACGCATAAATAACTAAAGAATAAAGATGTAATTATACGAATGAAGATAATATACACGTAAATTATACATAGCTGTCACGCCAATCATCTAAGATAAATACATAGGCACCCGCTATTCTTCATCGTGGGATAATTTGCTTCTAATACAGGTCACGGGTAATAGTGCTATAGCATTTCGTAATAGAAAATCGAAATGTTAATTTTCGACGTAATTAAAACATTTTATATGTATCTACATATATATGGTGTTGGTATAAAGAAAAGGGAATGCAAAATGAATCAGTATTTATGAAACTGAACAGTTTTTATCGAGGAGGGTCGAAATATGAAAGTAAGATTTGAACCTTCATACTAAATTGATCATTTGTTCGGTTCGTTCGGTTTGTATACAAAGTTTATAAAATGTTTTCACATCATTGAATCGCTGACCCATTTTCTTTGGGAAAATTGCTAGATTGAATTGTTGTGTTCTTTTCCTGTGTGAGGTTGTTTGAAATCGAACAATAAAACTCGGGAATGTTTTATATTCGAAAATAAAAATATACGTAGTAAAAATAAGTAATAGTTAATATTTTTGTAATAAAAATATTTAAAATAATGTTTTTTTTTTTTCTGTCTACATATTTCGGACTGTTACAACTATGTATACGATACACTGAAAAATATAAATTTTTCAGTAAATCTCAAGTGCACAATCTTACCATTACTATAATTTGTTATTGATAAAAATGCACACGGAAAATATTATATTTTTTTTTAAACACATACATTTAATATACTCTTATGTGATGTATATTTACCTATAACATTGTAACTATATTATAAATTATTGTATTATATTTAATAAATACTCGGTTTACTTTAAAAAAAAAAAAAACACCATGTATTGGAACAACACTTCGTGTTACAGATCGATCATTTAGATAGTAACTTAACTAATAGATATTATCTACTAATATTAATCTAACGAATAAGACCGAATAGAAAATCTTTATTGGATAGTTTTTATTTGCTTTGTTTACTACCCA